ATCTGATACAATTGTTCGAGGTACTCCATGTTTTGAAAAGATCTCCTTGATGTAGATGTCGGCCACTCTGTTCGCTGTTAGTCCAGTTGTACATGGAATGAATCTAGCCATCTTGGTTAGTCGATCGACTATCACTAGTATCGCGTCGAACTCGGTCGATTTTGGTAGGGGTCCCACCATATCCATAGAGATATCTGTCCAGGGGAGTGTGGGTACTGGTAAAGAGACTAGATGTCCATACGGCTGATGTCGATGAGTCTTATGTCGGTTACAGATCTCGCATCCTTTTACGTATTTCGCAATATACTCGTCCAAATGTGGCCAGTAATAGTCCTCTTTGACCATGGTGATAGTTTTGTCTCTTCCTGGATGACCTACTAGTATCGAATCGTGTCTTGCTTTCATTACTTCCAATCTTGCCTGTCCCTCTGGTATGACTACTCTGTTTCTATACAAGAGTAATCCGCTCTGTGTCCATGATACTCTTGGTGTCTCGCTGCTAGCCTGTGTCTTCTGTGTGTCCTGTGTGTTCTGTGTGCTCTGTGTCCGTGTTATTTGTAGTCCTAGTTGTTGTATGTTTGCTATGTCTTCTGAGTCTTTCAGTCCGTTTTTAATGAGTCCGAATAATGAGTCTTCCCGGATTGCTCCTCTTACTATGTGTCTTGGTCCTTTGTGTTCTGAGTCCATCAAATTCGATCCAATTTGTTCGTGTGTCGGTAGCAATTGTAGCCAGTTACCTTTGTTTAGGTCTGGGTCCTTGCTACTCCCTCTTCCCGGATGATAATCTCCTCGTCTCGTCAGAGCATCTGCTCCCCCATTTTTGCTACCCGGTCGATAAGTGATCTCTATGTTGAAGTCTCCCAATATTTCCAACCATCTCATCTGCCTTCGATTTAGTTGTCGTTTGCTTTGGAAGTACTCTAAGTTCTTGTGATCTGTAATGACCTTTATAACATCACTGCTGTTGGCCAAGTAGGGCCTCCAGGCGACCAAGCAATCCACGATGGCTAGTAATTCTTTCTCTCCTACCGTGTAGTTTAGCTCACAGGGTGTCATTGCTCGAGACCAATACGCAACTGGGTGAAGTTCGGTGGTTCCCTTTATTGATGGGTGAGGGAATCTCTGAGACGCTATCGCACCTATCGCACAATCGGATCCATCGGTTTCAATCCAAGTCGGTCGAGTTCTATCAAAATGTCGAAGTACTGGTGCTGTGGTGAATGTTTTCTTTAGATCGTCAAAAGCCTTTTGACAATCTTGTGTCCAGTTCCAAGCTTGATCTTTCCTGGTTAATCGTGTGAGAGGTCCTACAATATGCGAAAACCCCTTGATAAACCTCCGATAGAAATTCGCAAAACCCAAGAACACTTGAGTATCCCGGACTGTCATGGGTTCTCCCCATTCTAGAATAGCTTTCACCTTTTCTTGATCCATTTCGATCCGTTCGTGTCCTATTACATACCCCAGGAACTTTACTTCACTTGAACTCCATTCACATTTCCTCGGACTGACGACCAAATCGTTTTCAAGTAGTCGGTCTAACACCTTTTGGACAATTATCTGGTGGTTTTCGATCGTGTCGGAGTATACCGTGATGTCATCGATATAAACTACTACCCCTTCGTCAAGTAGATCGTGAAACATGTCTTGTAGAAAGTTCTGAAAGGTGGCTGGTGCATTACACAACCCATCCCTTAGGACTGTGCTCTCGAAACTGCCGTATCTTGTTCGTAAGGCAGCTTTATGTTCATCTCCTTCCTTTATCCTGACTAACTGGTAAGCCCCTTTCAAATCGAGCTTAGTGAAGATCCTTCCTAATTGAAGTCGATCGAGTAGTGTCGAGATGAGTGGCATTGGGTATGAATCCTTAATGGTTACCTTGTTCAGCGCACGATAATCCGTTACCACTCGATAGGGAATCACTCCCTTTTTTGGAACCAGGAATACAGGAGACCCGTAAGGTGATTTACTTCTTCGTAGATGGCCGCTGGCCAGACCATCGTTGATCCACTGCTTTAGGAATGCATCCCCATGTTCATCCAGTTGGTAGATTGGTCCTGGCTTTAGTTCTGCTCCGGGGGTCAATTCGATCTCGTGATCACATTCTCTTCTCGGTGGTAGTTTTCTGGCTCGTTCCACTTTGAATAGCTCCAGATATGGGTGCCATTGTGTCGGTATGACCTGTCGTAACTCTTCTTCGCTCATCTCATCTTCTCCTTTTTCCAATGCTGTTCCTCTTACCAATCCTTCTTCCAACCTCGGATACTTCCAACCGTTATCTTGTCCGATTCCGTCGAACTCGATCAATCCCTTTCCACAATCAATCCTTGCCCTAAACTGTTTCAGGAAATCCAATCCCACCAGTACCTCGGGGCCTTCGTATGCCATCACATCCAATCGAGTCGCAATCTTGAGTCCTTCTCCTAAATCCAATTCAGCTTCTACATACTCGGTCACTAACGTCGCGGTTGTTCCATCGAGGAATCTGATCTTCCGTGGTTCCTGATACTGTCTCTTTGGAAATAAATGGTATAATGGACAGGCCGGCTGTACGTATCTTCCGGTAGCTCCGGTATCAATTAACATTCCAAATCGTAGGGTATCTTCTTCTGTCTGTATCTTTATGTATATTATAGCCGAGTCATTACTGAGATCTATTGGTAGTTGAATTTTGTGCGATTCTGTTAGATCCTGGCCGCAAGTGGTCGCATCACTTAGGCCAGGTATTCGTTTCCCTCTTCTTCAAAGGTTACCGCCATTCCTCGAACTAATGGCCCTTTGGATCCGGTTGGGATCGAGTTCGATCCACTAGGAATTGGTGAGCTATGCGGGTTTGGGGATCCCCTAATATTGTTTCTCGTATTTCCTCCATTTGGACAGTTGTTGGCGTAATGTTCTGGACTTCTACATTTGAGACAACGTCGGTTCTCCCTCCTCCAAGTCATTTCGTTCTCGCTGAGACGTCCTCCGTCCTCTGTCCAAGTGACCGGAGGGTCATTTGGTAGACCATAATTCATCATCCCTGGTTTTCCACCGGGCAAGGGTCCTCTACCAGTCGATTGTGAGTGGCGTTCTACCGGGTTGGGCAAACTAGTATCCAATCGCATCGAATTCGATCGAGGGGGAAGCCAGGTCGTCTCATGTTTGCGTCTAGCAGCCCATCGATTCGCTGCAATCATCGTTTCAGCCATCCGTTGGTTCTCCTCAGTCCCTATCACATGCTGTTTGAAATAGATCCAGTCCGATTTGGTTCGAGGGTCGGTGTTATTTACCACTACCACCTTCAGTAGCTCTTCCTTCAGGCCCTGTATGGCTGAGGCGATTTTCATTGCATCTGGTACCTTTCCAAGGTGTGTGGACCAAAGTTCAAAGTTGGCAAAATACTCGGCGGCCGTATCAGTCTGTCTTAACTCTTGCAATTTCCTCATAGCCGTACCTGCCATGTTACTATCTCCAAATTGAGTTCGTAAATGCTGAATGAATTTGTCGTAGCTCTCTAGCCATTCGGTCGAATTCCATATACTTGGATTGGTTATGGCCGGGGTTAGAAGCATTTGAGGGGTGCCTCGAAGATACCCGTACATGAACAGGATCTTCCTGCGATCGGTGGCGTACTCTGCCCCTTTGAACTCGAAGTTCATGTGACATGCTGCAAGGAAGTTGTCCAATTCTCCTCGTTCTCCACTGAAGGTAGGTGGATCCGCACACCTGGTTCTTCCTGTTCGTTCGTTGTTGTTAAGTTTTGGCTCCAAATACGGCTTGTTTTCTTCGACTTCGATCGAACTTGCCCCTTTCGATGTGAGTAGCTGTTGGTTCTGTCGGTCAGCTTTCATCGTAGCCAGTTCTCCTCTTAATGCATTTTGTTCCTTTTGTTGCATCGTCATAATGGCTAACAATTGTGACAACTGCTGCGATAACTCATTCAGCGGATCTGGGGTAGTGGTGGTAGAAGTGAGATCATGTGAAATGGTACTTCTCGAAGAACTTGTTGGTATTTCTTCCTCTGGGACCAGCCCTTGTTCCAACTCCTCTTTTTCTGGTATCATTTTCCGCGCTTTCCCTCTGGTGAGCATACAGTACTCTCCGATTCGACCCAAGGTGCGTAAGGCTGATTCTTCAACTTGTAACGGTACTGGAAACACGACGACTAGGTCGCAGGTTGGGTCGAACTCGATGGATGTCTCGTGGAACTCTAGGGGCTCTGGTGCTAATGGATCGTGTCTCCTCTACAATCGATGTAGCCAAAGAATGATATTGAAGAATCAGCAAAGTTGGTACTTTGCTGATTGTACTATATACTGTCTACGGATATCCTCGCCCTTTGTCCTCTTCCTGCTGCAAGCGTCTACGTACGTACATACTCGGACAGGTGAAAAACCGCTTTGAGCAAACCCAGTGGGGAAATCTCGAAAGGGGAAAACCCGTCCCTACCTACTGCAGCACTGCCTCCAACTCCCGCTTTCCTCTGTCCTAATCCGTCGAACTCGATAGAGTCCTCTCGATTCGTTGTTACCCCGTAACAAGACGTTACCTCCAAACCAAAGTTACGATTTGAGACTGGACCTAGTGGAGGGGGCGAAGTTAAAGGTGGCCCCACTGTACTCGTTAGCTGAAGATCAGAGAAAAGCGTTAAGGGAGATTCTGGAGAAGGAGGTAGCGGCTGGTAGAATTCGGAAGAGTAACTTGCCTTATGGGTCACCTATGTTCATGGTTCCCAAAAAGGTAAAAGGACAGTGTCACGAACTACGTCGTGACACCTCGATTATTCCATAAACAATGACCCTCCTTTGACCATCAAAACCCCCATCACGACTCAAGCTCTTTATTCTACACATAACTCAGGATATCTGAGACCAAGTACAGCGAAGTTAGACTAAGTTAGGTTAGGTAGGGACAATGGGAGCAGAAGTACGGCGAAGTTAGGCGGAGTTAGGCTAGGTAGGGACAATGGGAGTAGAAGTGCGGCGAAGTTAGGCGGAGTTAGCCAAAGGAGGAAGAGGATGGCCGGGGTTCGGGGAAGTTGGACGAAGTGCGTTGAAGTACGTCAAAGCGCGAGAGGGTTGGATGAACGTCTAGGAGGGATAGATAATATTAGCTGAGAAGATCGCTGAAGTTCTTCAGCGATCCTTGACTGTTGTCAGTAGAAAAAGACAGATAGAGATAGCTATAAATCGAGATACATCGCCATCAGTAGAACAAAGCCTTAGTTAGAGTAACTACGCCAAAGTACGCCGTAGTTACACTCCTTTCGACGTTTGCGCCCTCCCGGTTGGGTGAGACATCGACTCAGAAGCGTGAAGTTAGCCGAGGTTTGTCGACCGTCAGTCTATTAGGAAGGAATTGCTCGACGGCCGTGACAGACAGTGGCGGATGGTGACGGATTATAGGAAGTTAAACGAAGTTACCATTCCAGACGTTCATCCCCTTCCATTGATCAGTCAAATTACTGAGGAATTAGTGTCACAATCGTCGTTTCTTCTCTTCTACTGACCGACGGTCAACAAACCTGGGCTAACTACGTCGTAGTGGGGCGTCAATGTCTCACCAGGACAGGGTACTCGTCGGGGAACTACGGCTAACTACGCCGTAGTAATACGTCAAGTGATAAGTGATAAGGTGATCGTCGATGAGCTACGGCTAACTTCACCGTAGTACGTCAAACTGCTGGATGGTAGCTCTCCTTAACTCAGGTGGTTGTAGCTACTGAATATATCGCTCGCTACTGACAACAATCAAGGATCACTGAAGAAGTTCAGCGATCTGTAAACTATCTATACTACTCCTCTCTTCTCATAGAACGTCCCTCAACTCCTGCACTGTCTCACGCTCAGTCCTCTTTGTTCAACTTTGCCGTACCTCGCCATATCCCCGACGTCCTACTCCACTCACTTTGACTAACTTTGCCTAACTTCCCCTGCTCTGCTCCCTCTCGGTTCCCTTCCCCTAACTTTGCCGTAGTTCTCCGCTAGGCGGGGTTATCGTGACAAATAATACCCTCTTGGTTCTCGTAACTTCGCCGTAGTCCGTCTCAGTGGTTCAAGTGGAGGTTGGTGATGGTGAAAGGAAGGTTGGTGATGGTGAAAGGAGGGTCGGTGATGGCGGTTGTCAGGGATGTTACGACGTAGTTCGTGACAGTCGCCCCCTCCTTAGGCGTGAACGTCCTCGTGAGCTTCGTATGCATGTAATGAAGAAAAAGACACTCAGCAGGTTGTAGGGAACACAAATGGTCATATACCAGTTGTTGGTAGATGATACCATGGCTCGTTGTTAATGGGACAGCTAACTTCATCGAAGTTCATCGTGGTTGTTTGTTGTTATCCTGTGGTAATTACATTGTAAGTGAGACAGAGGATTTGGGGTACAACAAACCTCGTCGAAGTTCGTCAGCGTATCCCTAACTTATATGAATGTGAGACACGTAGCGTGGGAATTTTGATCGTCGTCATGGTGTTTGTTGTTGCTGAGACACATCGTTATGCGAAGTGACCAGTGCCCTGACGACAAGCAGTCGTGTTAGTTATACTAAATTGTAATGATCCTGCTTGTGAGGATCACCACAAATAAATAAATGTAACCTACCCGTAGGGCTGGATACTGAATCGGAACTCTGTGATGTGGATGATACTAGCAAGCAATGATCAAAGGTCAGTAGATGTAAGTAAAGAGTGTATCAGGGAAACCAAAGAGGGTCTGAGAGAGGATGGAGGAAAAGAAAGAAGGGGAAGAAGAAGTGAGAAGTGAGAAGAAAGAGGATGGGAGAAGAAAGACAATGGAGGAAGAGATCCCCCTCAGACCCGGCTTATATGCATAAATGAGCTGACGTTTGACGTAGGAAAGACGTGACAGAATCTGTGTCTTTGACACGTTATGCGTGAATACTATATACTAGGAGACAGGAGAGACTATAGGTAAAGAAGGCGTAACTGAGGCAGGTGCGTATAAGACTTGTATACACTATGAAACACAGACAAGAGACAGGGGTAGGGGTATCTGGAAGAGAATCTAGTAGCTTGGTACTGATCAGTATGTAGGGGATGATCGGATCCACTACATAAATACTCAGTACTTTGGCCCACTTCTTCTTCTTCCCCAGTACTAATCCTAAATCGTACTATCATCGTCTATCGAACCTCAGCTTTTGCTTTACCAAACACATAAATTTGATATATTTTAACAATATGAGCTCTCGCCCAGAATGTGACGCCTACCGATCTTTTGTAGATCGTTTCTCCGCTGCCCGTAAGTTACTTGTACAGTTCTCAGTGTAATGCATACGCCTAAAGGGTGACGTGCACTAAGCTCTTGTGCTAAAAGATCCAATGCTCAGCTCATAGTATGAGCTGAGACCCTTTATAAACTGCTTGTGCTGCGACCAAGATTCGAGATTTATGACACTCAGGTTAGGTCATCACTGATCACTTCAGTCTCTCAGCAGAGGAATACCCCCCGCCAAGTGTTGTCTATGGGCCTTGGGGCCTTAGCCATCACCGATGGTTCGCCTTCTGCTGCTGCAGCTTCCGCTGTGGCTCCTTCTGTCGCCGTGCCCCCCGCTGAAGCTACGGCCCCTCTTTCCTTTGGCCAACAGGAGGTCAGACCTGCTCCTGTTGGCCTCTTGCAAACGCCAGGTTGTACTGCCACTGTGGTAGAAATCAATGATGATGACGAGATGATGGTTAGTGATGAGGAGACAGATGGTGATGAGGAGATGGATGGTGATCGTTGCGGTGAAGAGATGGATGTGGGGGTTGATGATGGTGGAGAGATGGGTGAGGAGGACGACGAGTCGTTTGACATCGATCTTGGTGGTGAGGAGTTGTGCGAGGATAGGGATGAATGGTTGGCCGAGCTGAGAACATTGGGTCGTACGTTTGTCGCTGCATAACCTGGTCGTGAGTGCTAATGTGTACAGCTGTTCGCGTCACCAAAGGTTCTCCCGAGCTTTGTGTGAGAATGCTGGGTTCCAACGGGAAGAAACAAGTGGCCTACATGGCTAAGCTCGCCGAAGTGAAGTCCGAGAAACGTCGTTGTTCCCCTTCCGTCCACGACGAAGTGACTCCCCCTTCGGCAAAACGGGTCAAAGAGACACCTCGGTCCTTTCCAGGACAGGCTGAACCGTCCCCCCCCACTTCCCACGAGACAGGGAGCGCTCGCAAGGCTTCGTTGCGAGCGCAGGAGAGGCTATGGCAGAAGTTCATTGATGAACGCGAACGATGGGAGGTTGCCAGTATAGATGAGTCATGTGATCGATGTCGGTAGGTTCCTTCCATAGAAGCTTATACATCTGCTGATCAATAGCTGTGAAATTATCACATGCGGGAGAACAAAATGGCCGTGCTTACGACCGGTCAAGCCCCACAATCGTGGGTCCCGTTGTGCTTCCTGCACTTCTGGCCCCTGCTCCTTCTGCCCCTCCAATACCGCTCGGGATATTCCTCCCAGACCTTCTGCTCCTCTCGGTCCCCCCTACACTCCGTCCGCCGCTGTTCGTCGCCGTCTCCCCACAGCCCAAGACGGGGACTATCCTTTGCGCTCTCCTTCGGCAAACTTCTCCTCTCCCGGCCCCACCTCGCCGTCACCCGCCGTCCGTCGCCCGCCTAACTCTCCCGTGGCCGGACCGTCTCGTCTCCCTGCTACTCCTTTGGCAGGTTCGTCTCGTCGTGCGCCTCGCCGTGCTCCTTCCGCCTCCCTCCAGCCCTCAACACCTATGGCTGGCCCATCTCGTCTCCCGGCTACCCCTTCTGCCGGTCCGTCTCGTCCCACCAGGAGCCGTCCTACTCCTGCGTCAACTCAAGAGGAGTCTCCTCTAAGTCTCCCTCCTGCCCTTGGGACCCGAAGCCGTCAACCATCTGTTCCTCCTGCTTCTGGGCTCTCAACTCCTGCCCCTCCTGTGAAAACTCCTCCGGAATCTTCGAAAGGGAAAGGCAAGAAGAAGAAAGCTGTCCAGTTTGAACCGGCTGTGGTGGAAAACGAAAGTACTTAGCTACCAGAGGAAATCCCTCCCGCCCTCGACCACCCCACTATCGCTCTCGACCCTCGGATACCAGAGGAAGACAAACAGCTAGCCACCTTTCGTTCCGTCATTATTGGCTTAACCACGCAATTACAAGCCAATAGACGAGATACGGCGAAGCTCGTCGAATATTGCATGAAGCTGGTCTCCGCGATGAATATTCTCTCTCGGACAATGGCAACCCTTGTGAACTCCTCCGACATAGGGCCATTAGGGCAAACTGAGTTAGCTAGAGTTTCCCGAGAGCTCACAACGGACATGAGCGACTTCTACCGCAATCTCTTCGACTCTCCCTACCTCCTGAACCCCACTGAGTATATGCTCCCCCCTACACTGGACTGGTTAAAACCATCTCAACCAGCTCAACTCAGTTCTCAGGATGGTGCTTTCCTCGATATCCTTACTCTTCCCCCAGACTGTCTTAGAACACTTTGTCAGTTGTGGAAGTTACCCAGTCTGAACCTCGCTCGTGATCCTGCCCTCCACGCTGCTCACATTCTGGCCTTTAACACGGCATGGAGGGAGACTCGGTCACGTCGACGGATAGTACCAGCGAAGGGTACAGAGAATAGTTCTGGAGGTGGTCCTGCACCGGGGAACTGGGAACAGGGAGGAAATTCGCAGCAGTGAGTTGTACTTAGCTAATGTTGTACCCGTTGTATGAATTACTTCCTCGTCCGTGATCTTACCACTCGTCCTTTACTCGGTTTACCAGGATGAAGTTCATGGAACTTCGCCAATATGTCATTAGCTCTGTCCACATTCTCTACTGGTTCCCACCATACTGCGTTGTCTGAGCCTTCGTAACCTAGCCATTCTACTAGATATTCTAACTTTCCTGACCTCTTATTTACTCTCGAGTCCACAATATCCTTTACTTCCCACGACTCTCCTACGTTATCTACTTCTACCGGACCAGGTGGTTCAGCTTGCTGACCAGGAAATACTGGAGGGTGATAGGGACGGAGCAAGGAGACATGGAATACATCATGGATACCTGCCATCGTCCCTGGCAACTCCAATTTGCAAGCATGAGAACCTACCTGCCGTACCACCTTGTACGGCCCACTTTGCTTAACATCCAACTTCTTCATTGGTGTCTTAGTCTTAATATTCTCTAAGGACAACGTAACTAGGTCACCTTCCACAAAGTTCGGCGTAGTTCGGTGTTTCCTATTGTATCCTTCGGCGTACTTCTTGTTAGCTTTCTCAATCCCCTTAATACATTCCTCATGTATCTCAGTTAGGTCTTTTACTACTATCATAGCAGCAGGTACTTCGACTTCACTAGCCTTGATCTCTTCAGTCCACCGAGGGTGGTACCCATAGTTCGCATAGAATGGGGTCTTGTTTATCGCAGAGTGATGGGTGTTGTTATAAGCAAAGCTGGCTCGAGCAAGTAGCTTTGACCAGTCATTCTGCTGATAGGAAGTGAAGATTCAAAGATACAACTCCAGGGATTGATTTGTTCTCTCTGTCTGTCCATCAGTCTGTGGATGGTACACAGTGGAGAGATGTAGTCTTATCCCAAGACTATCGGTTAAGTTCTTCCAAAACTTCGAAGTGAATTTCAATCCCCTGTCTGACACTATGTTTTCCGGTAGCCCATGCTGAGCTACTACATAGTCCATTATTAGCTCTGATAGCCCAGCTGTGGTTAACCTCGTCGTAGTTGGGATAAAGATGGCCCATTTGGTCAATCGATCCACCACTACCAAGATCGAGTTATACCCATTGGAATTTGGAAGCTCTTCGATAAAATCCATCGAGATGCTTGACCAGGGTTTAGTAGCCACTTGCAATGGTTTAAGCTCTCCATGAGGTTTCTGCCTGTTAGTCTTTGCTCTCTGACATACCACACAACCAGCGATGTAGTCCTCAACATCTTTTCTTACTCCAACCCAGACATAATCTCTTAGGATTAGTTCAAGGGTCTTCGCCGAACCTGGGTGACCAGCCAAGGCCAAGTCATGTCGCATCTTCATGATCTTTAGTCGAGCGTTGGCGTAGTTCGGCACATAAGTGCAATCGTCAAATGCGAGGAAACCTCTTAGGGTCCACCCCCCACAAAGTATTAGAGGAGATTGCAAACTACGGCGTAGTTCGGTGATTGATCCTGGTTCCTGCACGTCATCGTGACACGTTGGATGAGAACACTCAGCGCAAATGACCCCTAATAATTCCTCTCTAACCCCTTCTATGTCTTTGTCCTCCTGGACCACAAGTATCAGATCCGTAGGGTCAACAAGATCATTTTCCTTTACCTCCCTTGTCCCTTGCAATGCTCGAAGGAGGTGACGCAACTCCGACGTGGTGGCATCAACTTCGTCGAACTTCGGTAGACCTTGAATAAGGTTACTCTCTTGTACCATGGTACTTCCTTTCCCGGAATGGTAGTCCGCCCGTCTAGATAACCCATCTGGAAGACTTGCCTGGGTTCCTGGTCGATAAACCATTTAAAACCTGAAGTTAGCTAGCTCCTCTACCCACCTACCTTGGCAAGGACTGAGTTGTTTTGGTTCCATCCAGTAGGTAAGGTTTAAATGGTCAGTAAGGACTGTGGTTTCTACCTGCAGTAGTAAGTGTCTCCTTCTTCTGAAACTGTCACGGCCGTCGAGCAGTTCCTTCCTTATAGACCGACGGTCGACGAACCTCGGCTAACTTCACTCTTCTGAGTCGATGTCTCACCCAACCGGGAGGGCGCAGACGTCGAAAGGAGTGTAAGTACGGCGTACTTCGGCGTAGTTACTCTAACTAAGGTTTTGTTCTACTGATGGCGATGTATCTCGATTTATAGCTATCTCTATCTGTCTTTTTCTACTGACAACAATCAAGGATCGCTGAAGAACTTCAGCGATCTTCTCAGCTAATATTACTTATCCCACCTAGATGTTCATCCAACCCTCTTGCGCTTTGACGTACTTCAACGCACTTCGTCCAACTTCTCCGAACCCCGGCCATCCTCTTCCTCCTTTGGCTAACTCCGCCTAACATCGCCGCACTTCTACTCCCATTGTCCCTACCTAACCTAACTTCGCCGTACTTCTGCTCCCATTGTCCCTACCTAACCTAACTTAGTCTAACTTCGCCGTACTTGGTCTCCGATGTCCTGAGTTACGAGTAGAATAAGGAGGTTGAGTCGTGATGGGGTTTTGATGGTCAAAGGAGGGTCATTGTTTATGGAATAATCGAGGTGTCACGACGTAGTTCGTGACAGTCGCCCCCTTCTTTAGCCGCGAACGTCCTCGTGAGCGATTACACCTGTATTGTGGCAAGAAAACTTAGCAGCGTAGTACCTCCATCCTATCTTTCTCCAATTTCATCCCTCGTCGTTCTGCTCCCTGCGCCGTACTTCGTAGTTGAGCCTCCTTTCACTTTGAAACCCGACAGTGAGACTCCCCTAACTTCGTCGAGGTTTGCCGTAAGATACCCTGTGTCTTTTGTAGGTGAGACACGTTTCCCGGATCCTAGCCGAACAACACCGTTGTTTGTCGAATTAACCCTCGTTTATATGGAGATGAGAGACTATAGCGTGGGAATTTTGATCGTCCCTATGTTTACCTTTTGTTGATGAAACGCGAAACGTGATGCGTGTTGACGACGAGGGGGTAGGTTTGGGTGTACTAAATACTGAGTACTTCGTCGAGTTTCTCTCTTTTCCCCATCTGCTTTCAAAACTTTCCACCTCTCTTACCTAGAAAACAGATTTGTGACCTTGACCTATCATCTTTTATTTCTTTAAGTATCTTTAACGTCATGGCCCCTCCTACTCCCACCTCCAACCCTTTCGCCGCCATGAGGAACTTTGGTGGTATGGTGTCGTCTGCTCGTGAGTCCTCCTTCGATACTTACCTCACTTCGCCGAACCTGGCTGACGTTCAGTTTCCTTCGGCGACAGATCTCGCCAAGTCTCCTCTCTTGGCCTCGGCACTCTCTCTTTGGGGGAACCGTCTGCCGCCGCATCGCCTCCTCGGTCTGCTTCTCCTCCCGCCGGTTCTCCCTCTGCTTCTCCTCCTCCCGGTTCTCCCTCCGCTTCTCCTCCTGCCGCCAGCCCTCGCCGCAGGACGCCCGCCTTTCGTCCTGGTGAGTCTCCGTCCTCCTCCGACGAGGAGTCGCTCAGTGGTTCGGAGTCAGACGGTCAGTCAGACTTCGAAGGTAAAGGAGGTGATTACGATGATGAGGAGGATCAGAATCGTGAGGGTGAAGATGAGTTAGAAGAATCCTCGGATGATGATATGGTGTCGGTTAGTGTAGAGGACAACGATGGTGATGGTCCTGAGCGTGAGTTCTTCGCCCATCCTCTCACACCTTCGCCGAACTTGGCCTTGCTTATCTGTTCTTCAGCCTCCTAAGACATTGCTAACCCGTGGCCGTTCGCGCTTCCCCTCCTGCCCAGATCGTGGGCCAGAAACGACCTCGTGCCCTCTCCTCCTCTTCCTCTTCTTCTTCTTCTTCTTCCGGGGTTCTTCCCCCGCCAACGCCATCGCCGCCGCTGCCGCTGCCGCTGCTCGCCGCCCTGCCGCCGCTGCTGCTGCCCGTCGTCCTGCTGCCGCTCCCCGTCCCGCCGCCGTCGCCACTGCTTCTGCCGCCGCCGCCTCCGTCGCTGCTTCCCCCTCCCCTCCCCGAGGGGAGCCTTCGCCCAAACGGGTGAAGAGATCGTTGCGGGAAGAAGAGTACTTGTGGAAGAAGATGGAGTCTGAGCCTGGACGTTGGGTTGTGGTTGGTGTCGATGAGGCATGTGATCGTTGTAGGTGAGTCTCCCTGTTTGCACTGCGCCGAAGTTACTCCTGCTAATTA